TACAAGAATTGCCTATTGAATCGTGGAGTATAATACAAATCAGTGTTTCGACAAAGTTACCTTCGGCTGTGTTGGATACGAGAATTTCGTCTCTCCGTGCAGGGCGACGCTGTTCTTTACGATGTTCACGTCTCCAACTGCGGTCAGACTGGTCTTGTCAGATGGCTTATTCTTTCTGTCGAGGTAAACCGACAGGTCCAATTTGTAGGCTCCGGTGTATTTGGTCTTCGGCAGGTCGTAGGTAGCGGTCACTGCCAGTTCACGGGAAGGCAGCGTCAAAATGGAGGCTGCGAGAGAAAGATGGTGTTCACTTATCACAACTAGTGAGATTCACAATGATATATAAAAAACGAAAAAGGCTCGTAGTAAATATTTTAAATCAGGCTACAGAAATCTTTAATAAATCTATCAGTTAGTAATATCAACGAAGCATAAATATTGTATAATAAATAAAAATTCAATGTGACAAATCCAATTATCATTTCACAATGATATATAAAAAAGACAAAGGCTCGTAGTAAATATTTGAAATTGAGTTACAGAAATCTCTAATAAATCTATCAATTAGTAATATCGACAAAGCATAAATATTGTCTAAGAAATAAGAATTCGATGAAATAAATCCAATGACCGTTTCAAATCGGACAAATTTATTAAAGAATTCATTATTGAATCTCGGAAATACCTGCGTCCTTAGGATGAACGTAAAGCTGATAAGTGTATTCCGACTTGTCCTTCGACGAGTGTAGGTACAGGTTCGTGGTGTGGTCTAACAAAAGTTGCTTGTAATCGGTGTTCGTCTTCAGCCCAAACTCAGCTGGCACGTTGAACTTCTTCAGATCGACCTCCACCGTTATTTGATGCTTGAGTGACGGTTTTTCCGCTAAACGACACGTCACAAACATTAAAATAAATCAGTTGCATTCAAAGGGAAATTCTGATTCTTCATAGTTAGTTCCACGTTACTCCTAATCTTCTAGGATGATGCTTACAACGTGGTCCTACGTCATTTTACACTTTCTACAACGTGAGTCAGTGAACCCTACGTGATTTGAAAATCTGCATTCGAACATTGACAGCGTAGCTGTCATATCATTAAATATCTTCCACCTTTGCGCTATTTAGCATACTTGACCAGATTCTACTCCGACAAGAGCCGCAAATCCTCAGAATTTCGAGTGCACCAATTAGACAAACGCCTTAATTACGTAATATTTAAATACCACAGACTCTATCCTCATTTACAACTTATTTGAAATATAAAATTCAATTTTGTAATGCATCAACACGTGAAATATTAAAACAAAATAGCTTTCTCATTAACTCATATGTTTCCTCATTATCTAGTATCAAAGAACGTCTACATCTAATCAGAAAATCTTGAGCACATCCAATAAAAAGCTTTCAATTGTAAAAAGTTAACATTTCCAAAAAGACAAAAGAAAATCAAATATTTCTAAAGGTTGACTCACGTTGCAGGTCCAAGGTGGACTGCAGTTTGAACTGAGCGCAGTCTTTGTTCTGCTCGCAGTAACTTATTTGAAATATGAAATTCAATTTTGTAATGCATCAACACGTGAAATATTGAAACAAAATAGCTTTCTCATTAACTCATATATTTCCTCATTATCTAGTATTAAAGAACGTCTACATCTAATCAGAAAATCTTGAGCACATCCAAGAACAAGTTTTCAACTGTAAAAAGTTAACACATTGAACGCCGGCTAAATTTCAGCTATTAAAAACGCGAGCGTCGATGATTATATTCATACATTTTTAAACATCGATTAAACGAAAATTTCTAACTTACGGGAGAGAATAAAGAATTCGATTTTGTAAATTTTACTTTGGATTTGTGTTATACATATCTAAAATGTTACATGAACGTAGGATTAGCAATTAAACGATAGACTTAGACTTAGACTTCTGCATTATCGCGGGGCCGGCGCTCCATGTGTTAACATTTCTAAAAAGAAAACAAAAGAAGATCAAAAACATGTTTCTAAAGGTTCACTCACGTTGCAGGTCCAAGGTGGACTGCAGCTTGAAGTGAGCGCAGTCTTTGTTCTGCTCGCAGTAGCTGTTGAACACGTGCAGCTCCTTGTTCGTGAGCTTCAGCTCTCCGACGATGGCCGAGGGGCCGAAATTCGCGTTCAGGATCATGGCGACGCCGACCTCGCCGTCCTTCTCGCGGGTCAGCTGCTGCCGCGTGTACTTGAACGACGAGCTCCTGGTGTTGTCGCCGACTTGCAGGTTCCCGTTGCCCTCGACCACGATCTTGCCGTCCTCCTCGCGTTTCTTGTAGCTCGTGCTGCATAGACAGTGCAGTCTTAGCTCCCGAATATACGGAACGGTTTTAGACAGATCGAACAGACGGTCGTTTTCGCGTGTTGGATGTGCATGCACGAGAATGTCATTGAATCGATTCGATTTTATAGGATGTTCACCCTTCGCGGACGTTCTTTAACTCCTTGTCCTACGATTTCTTTCTGAGCTGCGATCGATCCAACTACTTCGTTATTAATAATTTATTAAAAATATGAGAAAATTTTTATGCCGTGTCAACGTGTGCTCTATAATTGTTGATAACGGAGAAATAATATGTAACTTGCATTCAAACCAACTGAATAAGATTTGTGTTTATATATTATTTATTTAAGTTTATTATTATTATTACTATTATTACTATTATTACTATTATTATTATTATTATTATTATTATTTAGTTTATTATTAGTATATTAAATTATATTACTATATAATTTAATATAATATATATGTATTACTCAGTTCATTGGAGTTCAAAGTAAATATTATTCCTCTGTAATCAACTATTAAACTTAAAAGGAAGTAGGCATAACATATGCTTAGAATTCTCCGTTTTTTCAATAAATTATTAACGACAAAGTAGCCGTATCGAGTTGAGAAAGAAATCATAGGCCAAGTGGTTAAGTGCTCGGTAGTTCTAGCGTTAACACGTTAAATGCCATGTCAGTCACCTGTGACCAGTCTTTTCTTTTTAGAAAATAACTATAATAACTTAATAATTATAATAGAAAATAATTATATTTACTAATGTAAATAACTTAACAACAGTGTAACGTAAGAATCACTTATCTGTTATAATAATATGTAATTATTATATATTATAATGTATTTATCTCTGCCACGAAAGAATCGTGTTGTGTAAAACGCTCAAGATTTCCGTGGCGTTTAACGTGTTAAATTTAGCGTTAAATCGTTCGTGATCAGAAGATAAGAGAACGGAAAAGTGTTTCGTATAAACTGTCATATTTCTCGGAATGCGTGCAACTTTAGTGAAAACGGCGTGTCGTCATACCTTCCGGTTACGATGTTCTTTCCGTCACTGGTCACGGTGATCAGGATCCTCTTCTCAGCTTTCCCGGTCGGCTTGTTCGCGATCGACGCGTGAATCTTGCGCTGCTTGATCTTGTCGCTGTCGAAGTTCGCCTCGATCATGAAGTTTTCGGCGTCGTCCAAGTCCGCTTGAACGTCCGCGACGACGAAACCCTTCGGCGTGGAGATCTTCCATTCGCCTGAGAAATAATTATATGAAGTTTGCAAACCGTTTCGAACTGCTCCCAACAAAGCGGGATCATAAATTTGCAATTTACTTGTAATAATATAATATGCAAGAAAAAACACGTATCGTCGTTACGTGTTACTTGGAAGAATTTTCATTGTAAAGTTGATAAACTACTTACAAAGATGTTTAGCATTATTGAATATTACTTAGCCGAATTTTTAATATAGAATTTGTCAATTATTTATAACGATATTTACTATTGTCGCATTGTTATTGTATATATATATTCTTTTAAGGTTTGAAATCACCCTTTGGAAGTGTGTAATTTTGCGAGAAAATTCAAGATAAACAGTTCGAATCACAAAGTCATTTTCATCGATAAACGATACTTGTTCCTAGCTCTTATCGAATATTTAACACTAGATTTATGAAACAAGCCAATTTGACTCACATCAAATTTTATAAATATTTTTTTATATCTCTACTTTTAACCCTTTGAACTCTGTAGGCTCCAATATTGCACCAGTTAGAATATTAAATATTTTAATGGATCTTAAAGAAACTACCCTAAAATTATTCAATTCTTCGCACATCCAAATTTTGTACTAAGAAGGAAAATAAAAGATCGAAGAAATGTCATAGCATTTCTAATTTTCGCTAGAAGTACTATAAAAATTGCAGTTGCTGGTAGATTAAAAAACAACATGGAGTGCTAAGGGTTAATAAATCACTTAACAAAAGAAGTAAATCTATATTACCCTCTTGTAAGCAGAATATTTAAAGCATAAGTTTTTAGTAAATTACTATGAAACCGTAACTTAAATTCCTCTTAGTAATAAATAAATAACATACCATGCAGACCTAAAATTAACTATTGAAAAATTCTTCTGCATCCTAAGAAATTAATTTATTTATTACTAACAGAAATTTAAATTTATATAGTTTCACAAGAATTTAAAAACCTATGATTCTTTAATTATTTACTATTAATGTTAATAATACACGTATGTTCACGAACCAGTGAAATAGTGCAGTGCTAAGGGTTAAATCTCTCATTTCCAACATCCATACGAACGAATATCAATTTTTATAATAACGACAGAACAAACTGCATACTAAATGTCCGTAAATTTAGCGTTTAGTCGAGTTCTTTGAATCACCTTTGTATTCCTTCGGACTAAGTCTCTGGAACTTGCCGCTCACTTCGGTCTTGTCCTGCGGGGTGGTTAGAATGGCAAAGAAGTGGCCACTCGTTTCCTGTCGTTGAACGCCGCTGTTCAGGGTGTATTTGGTGCCGTCGGCGGTAACAACAACGTCCGTGGTTATCTTGTTCTCCGGTTTGTCTCTCTGAGAAGGTCAGAAAATATTAAAATCTCGGAATCTCGCGAATGCAATCAAGACAAATTGGAATATTCAAGAAACATGGATCTGAATCAAACCATAGATGAAAATGAAACGGTTGAATCAACGAATAACGTCGTTATTATCGATATCGATAATGTTTTATATTCGGCAAGCTCTTGACACGAGAAAAGGTATGTATCGGTGTGTTTAGAAGAATATCTAGTTTCCTAGGAATAATAGAGTAAATATATAAATATTCTTGAGTGTGCTATAACGACTATTAACTCTTTGTTTTATAAAGTGTGAGATTCGTGAGGATTTTGAATGAAATTTAACAAACATAAGTATTAACCCTTTGCACTAGACAATATTTTTCATTAAAGATATTCATTACTTTCTGACTAAATATTAACGATATTTTTCGCGACTAACACAATTGGTTATCTTCTATCAATTAAGAGACAGAACTATTTTACTTCGATGTTTTATGTGTTAATATATTGTACAAGGTTTAACGCTTTGCAGTTGGAAGCTTTTCACTAGAAACATTCGACATTTTCCGATGAGACATAGACGACACTATTTGAAACGAACTAATTAGAAAACATACGTAACTTAGGAAACAAAGTCATTTTATAAAAATATTTCACATATTGATGCATTATACAAAATTTAATATTATATATGAGTCACCTCTCGAGTGCAAAGGTTTAATATTGAATTGACAAGTTTGCTGCGTCGAATCAGGTGGCGACTGTAAGGCGCCCCTCGAGTGCAAAGGGTTAACTGGTTAAATACGTTATACGTTAATAAGTTCGTCAAGATTAACTATCCCTATTCACAATACCCATCCGACAATAATGAAATGAACGAAACTGGATAATATCGATCGATCTACCTTGTAGTCGACTTGCATCTCGACGTTGCGCAGCTTCTCCATTGGCAGCACGCTCTTGATGTTCATCTTGACGGTGGACGTGTCCGGCAGGTACACGTTGTTGGACTGAAGCTCGAACTTCTGGTCACCGTAGTAGCCTTTAAGGTCAACGTCGGCGGTTTTCTTCTCATCAGTGGGGTGGTACTTGTAGTTGCCATCCAGTTTCCATTGCGGGTAGTCCAGAATGTTGATGGTCAATGCTGCCTTGCCCTCGCTGGGCTTATCTGGTATCGACAGTCCTGATACTCTCCAATCGTCCTCCATCTTCCAGACCTTGTCTTTGTTGTACATCAAATTCATGCTCGTCGTGTCCCTTAAAACTTCTTTCTCAAAGGCCAGCAGCGTTTCGCGGTTGAAAGCGAATTTCAGGTCGCTCAGGGTCTTGCTAGGCAGCTTCATGTCTACCAAAATGTCCGCCTTGCATGGCTTGTCGACGCTGTCGCCGCGGTTTATGCTTCCTTTGCTCTGAAACGGGACGGCGGATTTGCAAACGGAAAAGTAACGGAAAGCGAATGACATTAGAGTTACTGAACACTTGAACTGAATTCTCAAGGTTTCTTTCTTGAAATGATGAGCTTAGGTACTACTTAACACTAGACCTACCCTGAAATTGACTTTTCGAAATTTATATATAGAAACTCCACGAGTGCATCTCTTGAGATTTTAATTGATTCATAATTCAATTTGCGTGTTGTCAAATTAATTTCTTTAATAACTCCCAGGAAAGCGTCTGTTATTTTTAATAATCGCGGAAGGAAGAGATCAGGAATGGACCAGTTTGACCCGCTCGGTGGTTCTAGTTTAATTATCTTTAGTGATTTCTCAAAGAGATATTCGCACCTTTTCAGCAATCGTGAAAGAGAGAATCAAAAAATGGGCCGTTTTAACGCATCTGATAGTTCTACTGTTAATATTTCATTATTATTCACTCTCCATTTATCCGTAATATATTCCTTTTTCAATTCGATAAACTAATTATCGCTAACAACAATATGTTCGGCATTCTAACTGAAACTAAATTCGCAGATTTTCAGCAATCGTGAAAGAGAGAATCAAAAAATGGGCCATTTTGACGCATCTGATAGTTCTACTGTTAATATTTCAATATTATTCACTCTCCATTTATCCTTAATATATTCCTTTTTCAATTCGACAAACTAATTATCGCTAACAACAATATGTTCAGCATTCTAATTGAATTCTAAGACCCAGTTACTCACCGCCATCTTCAAGTCATCGCCCCAAGCAGCGTCGGTATTGTACTCCAAATCCTCATCCCCCCTGTACGTGTGCACAGTCCACTGGAACTTCTTCGGGACCTTCGCTCCCTCGAGTTGCACACTGATGCCATTTTCCTTTATGTTTTCCGTCTTGAGGTTCTTCAGCTTCAAGGTACCCGCTATGTCCTTTCCTTCGGTGTCAATCATCTTCAGCGTGAGCACCGACTCGAACTCGAGCGGATCTTTGCACACGGACATTATGATCGCGTCGTACTGCAGCTTCCTGGTCGGACCATCCTTCTGCTCGCTGTCTCCTAATTCCGCGTTCACCGTGATACCGCAATTCTTGTCCTCCTTCGTTGCATTCCTCTTGACCTTGTAAGTGACGAGCCGTCCATTCGGCAGCGTCACGTCCAGGTCCAACTGCAGGTAACCTTCGTTGAACGTTCCGTGGAGACTGCCTTTGCCGTTCACCTGGAGCTTCTGATCGTTCAACTCCAACAGGTTCGACGAGTCCACAGAGTTTTTCTTCACCACGGTAGTAGTAGACAGTTTAAGCTTCTTGTTGCGGTCTTTCCCAGCGTCGTAGAGCACCTCGACCGATCCGACTCGTTCCATTCCTCGCACCTTCAGCTGGCCAGTGGCTTCGATCTTGCGGTTGATCTTCGGCACGTCGACGTTCAGGTTCATGTTGCCCTTGCCGTTCTGATAGGAGAACTGTCCGTTCGCCATTAGGTAGTTCTTCACGTTCAGGTCCATGTTGCCACTAGGATTGGGCGTCTTCTTCGCCGTCAGCGTGAACTCTAGATACTTGACACCGTTCATTTTAACCAGCGCCCGCGAGTTGACGGCTTGCGGGTTAGCCTCCAGGCCGGTGTCCACTTTCACCTTCTTCCCGTCCAGGTTCGCGTCACCGTCCAGCTGGACGTTCACGTTGTTCTTGCTGACGTCGTACGTGACGGTGGTGTCGGCGCTGTACTTGCCGCCTGGAGACAACACTAGCGAGTTCTCGAACTTGCTCTTGTGCGGCTCGAGCACGGTGCGCTTCGACTTGAGCTCCACGCTGTTCTGCATCAGCTCGGCTTCCAGCTCCAGCTCGTAGTCGCCTGGCGTCTTCATGTCGACCTTGGCGGACAGCTCGCCGCCGATTTTGAACTTCTCGTACGACACCTCAACGTCGCCGCTGACCGATTTGCTGGCGACCTTGCCGTCAAGTTTCAGTTTCAAGTTCAGCGGAGCGTACTTCAGTTCGTTCTCGGTGGCCAGGATCAGATCCACGGGGTCTATCTTGTAGGTAGCGCTCTGCTCCAGCGTCAAACGGTTCACCTCGGACTTCGGGTCGGGTCCGTGGACGAATACCAGCTTGTTCTCCATGGAGTTCTTCTCTAGCGCGAAGTTCCAGTCCAGAGAGAAGCCGATGTTGGGATCGGTAGACGGTACCGCGGTGACCGCGAGAGCGAAGTTCTTACCGGGCGTCGCTTTGCCGTCCACCTTCAAGTCCAGGCTCTTGTCAGCGTAGCCCAGCTTGGCGTCTATTTTCACATTCGTCGGCGTCCAGGCGAGGGAACCGTCGACCACCAGGTGCTCCTTGCCGCCGACCAACAGAGCGAGCTTCTCCATCACGAACTTCTGACCTCCTTCGTGATCCGACACGTCCACGGTACCTTGTATGTTATACTGTTGACCTCCCTGGGAGCCAGGCGTCACGCCAGCCAGCTTCGCGAGGTGCTCGGGGAACTTGTACTCCAACACCGGTTTGTATTTGCCGCCGCTGGACAGCAGGCCCACGCGTGCGTAGTAGTTCATCTGATCGTGGACAGCAGTGACCGACAGGCTGCGCTCCTGAGCATTGTTCTTGAGCACCGCTTCGGCCGAGGCCCTCTTGATCGGCGAGTCGAAGGCCACCTTGGCGTACCAGTTCGGCTCTGTGCCTACGTCCACGTTCAGTGCGACGCGCCGGTTAGTCTTGCTCTTCGGTGTTTCCAGCAGGATCTCGAACGAGCGTTTCTTCGGGTCGTCCACGTTCAGGTAGACCTTGAAGTGGTAAGCGGAGACGTCGTTGTTCTCCAGCGACACGGCGAACTTGGCCGGCCCGCTGAGAGGGAACATCGGTCTCTGTTGGGCGCTGGCTAAGTCCTTGTAAGGTAGCGAGATCTCTCCGCACACCGTCACACCAAGGATAGTGGAGAATTGCTCGAAACAGTCCTTGTGCGTCGTGCCTTCGCTGAACTTCGCCGGTTCGTACTTGCCCTGGCTGCCCATCAGCACCTCGCTCTCCACGTTGATGAGCTCCTGCTCCTTCTTCGGCACGCTGAAGTAGACGTCGACGCCTTTGCCGTCCAGCATGTTGACGGACAGCTCGCTGCTGGTAGCCGTGTGAACAGTAGAAACGACTTTCATGCCGGCTTCCGCTCCGAGTCCCTGAACCACCATCTGGCTGACGAGTCGGACAGACACGCTGGGCTCCACGCCTACCTTCAAGGAGGCTTTCTCTGGGTTCCGGAGGATGGCCGGGAGGTCCAGCTTGCCGTTGGTCTTCACTCGGGCCGCGCTAGTTCCGATTAACCCTAAGGACAACGCGGTACCCAGGTTCGTTGGGTAGACAAGATCAGCTTCTAGGAATTGCATGTAGTTCTCTAGGTCGTAGTTCAGGTTCTTAACGAGATCGATGCCTTTGTCAAAACGGTCGAAGATCTTGTCGATGATCGCCTCCGGGTTTAGCTTATCAGGATCAGACGCGCAGCTCAAGTACGCCAGCTCCACGCCGAACAGCTTCAGAGAGAGGTCTACGTCTACGTTCTGGTCCACCTCGTTGCCCCTCAATCGCACGTTCTTCGCGAACCGGTCCAGCTCTCCTTGCTTCACCTCCCTCTTCCCGCGGACCGTCTTCTGGTACCTCTCTTTGATGTAATTGCCGATGGTATTAGCAGCGGCAGCACCTTCCTCCTTCAGTTCCTTGAAATCGCGGTTCGCCCATAGTTTGCCTTTGGGTCCTAACCAGTGCTCGATCACTCTGTCCAGGTTCTCCACGCGCGCGTTGAAGTCCAGCAGGTTGAAGCTGTTGCCGAACAGCTCCATGGTGACGTTCAAGCCAGCCGACCGCGGCACGAAGCTGTTCTGACTGTAGATCACGTTCTCCTCGACGGTGGAGCCAAGGCCGTACGCGTCGATCTTGTAGGACATTTCGTCGTTGAACGAGAACTTGCGGAAGTCCTCGGGGAACTTGGTGCGCGGCTTGATCAGGCCCAAGTGGTTCTTCGCGTTGAGCTTGTTAGGATCGGTAGACGCTCGCAGGTTCCTCAGGTGACTCTGGATGAAGGATCCCACTTGGTTCACGGTCTCTTTGTCCAGCGTCTCCTTCAACTGATTCGCGACATGGGGGCATGGGCAAGCGACAAGCGACAGGTACGTCTTGATCCTAATCTCTGCGTCCTCTTCCCTGTCGGCAAGCACCTTGAACATAATGTTCTTCCATTTCATTGAGCACCTGGTGGGTAGAGCTTCGATCGCTGCCACGCGGACCCTGTTCTTCACGTTCTTGTCCGCGCCGATGTTGGCCAGCTTCTGCAAAGTAGCGTCGTCGATGAACTGCGTGTTGCCCAGCGCCTTCAGCGCGGAGATCACTAGGTCCTCCTGCTCCCTGGTCTTCGCCTTTCCGTTGCCAACCTTCTCGCGAATCTTGTGCACCGCCTCCTTCACTTCAGGCACGTTCTCGCACGAATGCGCCTGGCAGTACTTGCCGATCACCTGTCCAACGCCCAAGTAGCCGATTCTAGGCAGATTGGGCTGGTCCAACAGAGAAGTTACCGCCGCCACTGAGGGAAGATTCACGTGCTGCACCAGAGCAAGGCTGGTGTAGAAGAATAGCGTCTGGATGCTGTTCAGCTCCTTGTTCTTCACCAATTCCACGCCGACCTCCGCCACCTCGCCGCTCGCCGCGCGGAACAGACCGTCCAGAAGAAGCGTCAGGTCGTTTTTGTCGAAGCCAGCGCCGGCTCGGACTTTCTGGTACACGGAGAGAATGTCGTCCTTGCTACTCACTCGGAGGACCTTCACCAGCTCGCTGAACTTGCCAGCAGCGTCCTGCTTCACACCTCCGTCGACTTCAGCCTTGGCAGCCTTTAGCGCCTTGCTGATAGCGTCCACGGAGGATTTCACGACCGGATGAGGAGCTTCGAAGATCAGAGTTTTAGGGACAGAGGGTTGGGCACCTTTCGGTGTGGTTGATTTGTCGTTCTTCAGGGTGAGAGTGGTTTCCACTTCAGTCTTAGCGCCTGCGTCGCCGTTGCTGAATGGTCTGAGCTTGTAGGTCTCTTTGGACATCGCCTTAGTCAGGATCCCTTGTTTGAACCGTTGCTCGATGTCTTGCTCAGACGCCAGAATCGGTGACGTGCGGATGCCCGCAGCAGTGTCCACGCTGGCCGTTATCAGTCCTTGGTTCAGGTTCTCGCGGAACGCGCAACGCGCCAGGTTCCTGTTCTTCTGGACTATCAGCGACTCGCCCTCCTTGCGGAACGTGAAGTCCGTCGGGCAGGCTCCCATCACGTCGGTCTGCAATCGGGATTTATGAATGAGGGATTTGTTGTAGCTGTTTATTCGTATTTCTGTTGCTGTGTTTGGTTACCCACCTCGTGGTGAGTCGTCGAACCGCTTTCTTGCATGACAGCTGACTGGAACAACGAGACGACCGCTCTCTTGATGTTCAAGGAGGCTTGGCTGTCTCCTGGTTCAGCGCAGATCTCAGTGTCGATATGTCCGCCGTGGTAGTTGAACTGCACTGCGTACTGCTCGACGTCCGGCGTTGATGGAGGCTGGAAATTTAATGTTAGACGAACGTTGAAAGGAAATCTAAGAAATACAATACAATTTCGAGGAAAATTCGTGTTTAACGCGTTAATGCTCTATAACAGTGTTTCTAAATCTTTATTTCTCTCGATATAATTGACTAAATCATTCAGCTATAGCAATTGAATGGAATATATTTAACAAAATATTTCGCTTCGTTAGAATGATCTGTTAACATGTTCAGCGCCATGTCAGTCACCGATGACTGACGCTTCTGAATTATTTGAAAACCGTAACATGCAAGATAATCGATGTCAAATTTAAATGTTTAATAACGTAACCAAATTGTTAGTGTAATGCAAAGATTGTAACGCCAAATAGTGAATAATTGTTGCTACTTTTCTTTGATGAAAAGGATAACCTTACAGAATTTTTATGTATCATTTCATTTTATCGTTTCGGTTTATCATTTCATTGATGAAAGAATTTTAAGATTCGAGGATTTTAATGTCCAACGGTAATTTTCCTCGGTACGTCAGTTTCGAAGCGTGGATAATTTCAAATTGTTTCATTGATATTACCGCTCCATTAAGCTGGACATTCTTCAGTCGTATCTGATGAATGCAGTCTGGCTTCACAGACATTTCGACAGTGGCTGACACTTTGAGCGTCGCATCTCCTTGAGCCTCAGTGACCGATGTCACTGACAATCCGTCCAGATTGTATACATATGTGTGTCCTTCTTGGTACGCTTTAACTGGGTTCACTGTAAATTCAATAATGGAAATTAATGACGATACTTCGATGCATCTGCCGATTTCGAAGCTGAATTCAATATTGAGTACTCACTTCCACGACAGCCGGTGCTGCATTTTGCTGCAACAATAGAAACACAATATATAAGTATTGATCAATTGAAAAGTCATTTTTGATATGTTTAACCGTTTGGATGCTAAACAACTTTTGTGAATATTTACCAAAAATGCGGAAGTGATTGGTTGTGTATGCAAACAAATTAATAAAAGTTCTTATCTAATAAGATCACAAATATTGTGTTATTACAAAAAAAATATCAAAAAATTACATTTATTCAAATAAATTTACTTTGATTTATTTCTTGAAGAATATAGTACGAAAATTGTAATCGATACTGATAAACAGAAAAGTCCTCAGCACTCAAACGGTTAATATTTTAAAAAAACATAGAATCTATAACAAAGAAGCTCAGCAGTCATTTTAATTCTTGGTAAAACTTTCAATGTTTACAATGCAATAGATTAACTTCGGTTTAATTAAACCAACACTAAACTAAGCTACTTCCCATAAAATATGTTAGAATCTTCTCATAAAAGATGATTAGTAAATCATTAGTAAATCTCCTTGCTTGGAATTCTTCTTTCCTCCGTTTTGTTTATTGTTTTTTATTGTTTTCCCTTAACTTATAATCTCTAAATAACTTGTATCTTATTACTATAATATCATTTATCTTGTTACAGTCACATACAAACTTAAAACATTTTCGAAAACGCAGAACCATTGTCAAAAAAGCCATGAGAGTTTACTTCCAGATAGGTACTATAACACGAAAAACTTCAGCGTTTTATGAAAATAAAAAGGAATAATTATCAATTATTTGGTACACAATTATTAGGTTACACTACGATCCAGTCATTCACGTTATTAACATATTGAATGTTAAACGATTTTAAGGAGCAACACACGAAGAACATTTCGAACACCGTAATAGTTAATTTCTATAACGAAACGTTCAATGATCTCAAATTTCGAAATTTAAAGACTATGCAACTTCGCTGATTACCACAGAATTGAAAAAAATATAAAATTTAATTCGAATTGATTATCTATTTAACCCTTTAAACTCTGTATGCTCCAATATTACACCAGTCATAATATTAAATATTTTAATGAATCTTAAAGAAACTACCCTAAAATTATTAAATTTTCCACATATCCAAATTTTCTGCTAACAAGGAAAATAAAAGATCGAAGAAATGTTATAGCATTTCTAATTCTCGCTAGGAATACTATAGAAATTAGTTGCAGTTGCTGATAGATTACAAAACAACCTGGAGTGCTAAGGGTTAAAATATATTACACAACAATATGATATCTGAGTTTTTCTATGTATAGTGATATAAGTTGACCTCAGTGAAAATTGCCATCCGTAAAATTCAGTTTTCTGAAAATTAGCCGGTCAATATGTTAACACTAGCACCAAGTGGATCAAAATAACCAATTCCTAATTTATTCACTTAGAATAACTGCAAACGTGCAGATTCATCAACATTTTCATTCGACGCCATTTCTTACGAGTTACAATTATTTCAAGTAATTTAGCTGCGGTCATCGGTGACCACCGTGGCAGTCAACGCGATAATATTCATAGGGCTCCAATCAAAAGCAGATCCTTATGTCTCGCCCTCTCCTTAGTTCAACGTCTAGGTTAGGTGTACTCCGCAGTATATATTTTCGAGGCGAAGGAACGTACTGCGTATATATCATTTAGATAAAGACGTGTAATATTTCTGAGCCAGAAAAGGGGAATCAAATTCTGTTCCGCGCGAGATATCCCTCGAGGGTGTCCCGCCCTTCGACCGAGAAGCGTTTTTTACGCTTTCCCAATTCATCAGGTCCCGTCGATGGTCAAGCGTCAGACTTTCCGGTCACGTTCGGAAATCCTTCGGCGACGCAGAAGTTTCGTTGTACTGGATGACAGCAGAAAAAAAACGCCCCCGAAGGCCGAGCCGGGCGATTAACCGTTTGACACCGAAGCTGGGTCATGCGTGACCCGTTACTACTCGCGAATAATAATAAAGCAATTTCTTTGTTAGCTCTTCCTGCTTATTAACACTAGAACTACCGGATAGGTCGAAATGACCTATTTTATCATGTTTTCTTTTTGCGGTTACTGGAAAGGTACGAATACCTCTTTGAGGAATTACTATAGAAGCTGATTAAGTAATACCTGAGTTGATATTTAAAGTAATTCAGACGTTAATAAATTCACGTTTGTAGTTTTTGTAAAGAATATTAAATATTCTAAATGAAACTTTGTATTGCTATGAGAACTATTTAAATAAAATTTTTTCGTCGCTTGATTTATCCGTGAATTATCGTTAAATTAGTTTCAGACAGTCGTCTATATTTCGTCGGGAAATGTTGAATATTTCCAGTGAAACACTTTCGAGTGCGAAGGTTTAAAGTGCGTGAATCATAAAGTTCATATAAAAAGGTCTACTGAATTATTTAGCAAATGATAATTACAAACAACCTGTGTTTGATGAAAACATTCCTAATCCTATCTCGACTTTTCCAAAAAACACCTAAACCACACCCTATGGTTTTCACGACGAGCTGAATTGGCATTTCGAACGTTTAAGCAATGTTCTGTGACATTTAGAGAAAGACATAATCATTTTTATAACCATTGTCTCATGCACGATCGAAGGAATGGTGTGTCGGGTCAGATCTGACCCGGTCACCGCATTAAGACTCGATCGTCCCGTCGGGACGGCTAGTAACGACAGCTTAATTTTCGGAAGCGCGAGCGATACCATGGAACACGGTTCATTGTCTTCGTTGCGGCCGATTGCTATACGATTATCATGGTTATTATGTTGTTACGCGTTTATTGACATGATTATCTCGGTTATTATCCTGTTACACATTTATTATGCGGCGACTTACGGGTGTACCCGAGCTTATGCGCTCGTCGAAATAAATCCACGCGGTCATGTGGCCGCTGGGCCTCTTAATGACGGGGTCAAATGGCCGATTTAAGGACCGGCCGTCTCTCGTTCAATGCAACTTTATGCTCCCATTGACCGCGAACGATTACCAAAATGGACGACGGACCGGCCGCTAACGAAATAAACGTCGTCGACGTTGTGTCTTAACGCTTAACCTATCCCAAGCTTATTAATCGGCCGTTCGATGTCGAATGCTCGGCAATTAGTAAACTATTAACCCCTTGCACTCCAAGTTTTTCATTAGACGCGATCAACAGCTTCCGATGAGATATAGACGACATTCTTTGAAACTGAGTAATAAGAAAATATACATAAATTAACACTAGATTTACGATATTTACTTGTTTATTCTATATTTTATTCTATTGTTTCTAGAATGTTATGTTCGTTCATAGATCGCGGAAATTATAACTTTAAAACTAGATAATTGCGTGTTTGCATATTTGCACGAAACGATTTAAATTCTAATTGAATAATCTTGAAAAAATTTAATATCAGACTGACGAGGTCCGTGAGTCTAGTGTTAATGACTAGTTAATGCTGTTATTACATTAAAACATTTTCCGATGAGATATAGGACATTCTTGGAAACTAAGTAATGAGAATACACGCAAGTTAATGAGAAAAATATTCTGTTTCTATGTTTCACGTATCGATGCATGACACGAAATTCAATGTTACATATAAGATTTTATAATTTCGTTATATTGAATCGAACGATGAATGACAGTCACCTGTCGAGTGCGAAGTGTTAACCCTTCGCACTCGAGAGGTGACTCACTCACCATTTGAATTCATACAGTAAAACTATAAAACTTGATATTCAATATTATAATTTGTACTTGGTTACTTGATATTTGATACTTGATTTCTCGAGTTAGTTTTACGAAATATCGCGTTTATCTTGTCAGAAAATGTTACATTATATCTAGCGAAAAACTTCCGAGTGCAAAGTGTTAATAGATATAATAACACAAACACGTTTTAAATAATAATAACCTTACTACAAAATAAACATTACTTTACTGAATTTCTACTGTTACGATATGAAGTCCATTTATTTCTAAATAATATGGTACATTAATTTTGTATACAAAATTTTAATAATATAGACACGTTTTAATGTTACATTATATCTAGCGAAAAACTTCCGAGTGCAAAGTGTTAATAGATATAATAACACAAATACGTTTTAAACAATAATAACTCTACTACAAAATAAACATTGCTTCACTGAATTTCTATTGTTACGAAGTTCATTTATTTCTAATGTTACATTATATCCAGCGAAAAACTTCCGGGCGCGAGGGGTTAATATTTCTAAAATCGAACACGAGGAAAATTCATTCGTTCCGCGAGTGTGCCGTTCAAATTGAAGAAACGAATCCGCTCGGTTTCTGCGATTGCTCGTAGCGTAAAATGCGATTGTGCTGCGCGAGGGTTGTTTCAGCAGAAAACCTGATAAACGCACGCGAGCTGATTTATGCGCTCGGCGAGCGCAATTATAAAATTGCCCACGGTCGAAGGAGAAGGATCGGGGCGGATAAAAAGCTCTTATTGACTCGTTTTGTGATCGATAACGGTTTTTTACAGTGGCCGCTGATTAATCCTCTAAGAGGAGGCATTCTTGTGCAAGGAGACGGCGAACTTCGTAGTACGGTCGCGTTGATAATGCAATAATCTAATCTCGCCACGCTTATTTTTAGTTGACTCCGGTGGCCGCTCTGCCATCGACACGAAATGGAATTGCAACACGCGCGGGGGGATTTTTATAAACACCGTATCACTTTTGTGAAAATCAAATAATATCCTGTGTACGCGTTTACGTCTTTCTACGTGAGATTCGTATAACCGAATGGTCCAAGGAGAAATCTGATGTTCAACGTTTGCTTTTAAGTGAAATTTATTATTCATTCATTTTAATATTCCGTTCAATAAAGTTGTATTGTGATAAATTGTATTTGATATATTGTGTTGTGATATATTACTTTATAATATGATTTAATATATTGTTCTTCTTGTATTATGACCCGCGATATGTCAGAAGTTGGAAACTGAGCTATATGATAATTATATATAATTAATTATATATTACATCAGAGGTTG